ATTGGAACATAACAAAAACAAAAAAAAACTGCCTAGGATCCTAGCTAAACATTTCAAAGTACTTACTAGTATTACTGATATTACCTTCTCCTGAAAATACAATATTCTATATTCTGTAGTTATTTCTGACCATAACTTGTCAAGCAGGCTATTAGTAGCAGCCATGTTAGCCTCTTTGTGACCATAAACATAGAAAAGAAAATCAAATTTATATCCATAGAATACTGCTTCCTCTCAACTTTTTAATTTTATTTTTTAACAACTGCATACCTTGACTATTGAAAGAAGCTGGTAACTCTCCTTTCTTTTTACCTTAGGAAAGTCCAATAATAGTCACAAATGGTTTACCTTATATAGTACTAAGGAAAATTGTGGTAGTCCCTCAGTGACCAAGAAACAATCTAGGGCAATGGTTCTCAAAGTATAGTCCTAGGACCAGCAGCATCAGCATCACCTGGGAACTTGTTAGAAATGCAAATTTTAGGCTCCTCCAGATCTATGGAATCAAATTCTGGAGGCGGGAGTCCAGCAATCACTCTCCAGGTGATTCTAATGCATACCAAAGTTGAAGAATCAATAATATAGGCCAATAATGAGCTTAATTATTCTAATTTTGCCAGTGGTATATCTTTTTGGCTTTATAAACCATTAACTTACAAATAAAAAAGGGGAACTAAGATATTAACTTAATATTGATTGGTTAATTATCATTAATTGGATAATTTAGTTAATTAATAGCAACTGTGCTAGAGATGCTCTAGTTGCTGCCAAAGATATATTATCAAAGATATATTACTTTTTCCAAAGATATATTACCTCATACAGCACATATTCTAGTTTCATCAAGCAGGCTCTTTGAAAAGAATTTTGGGTCCAGGTTACAAAACAGTAAATAAAGAGTATGGGAGAACTAGTATTAAGAAATACAAAAGAAAAATAAGAGAGTGGGTATAGAATTGAAGTTACATAAACAAAAAACACTAAAGGTGGTTATAATGGGTGATAAAATTATGGGTGATTTTTGTTCTTTATTTTCCTCCCTCCCTCCCCAACCCTGTCAACTTTCTATGCTGAAAATGTATTGTTTCTGTGATGAGGAAAAAAAAAAAAGATTTAGTTCAAGGTTCTACTTCTAGCCAAGATGAAGTAACAGAGATCATATTTGCCCTCCTACCTGAAACTGCCAAGGAACGGGCACGATATATGAAAACAATTTTCAGACACTGGACACTCACCCCTGAGACATGGAAACAAAAGAGGTAGCCCTACAACTGACAGAGTGTATTACCTAGAGAGTTTTCAGGCCACAGCACAAGAAAGGTTAAGTCTAGAGGGCTCTGTGTCAGCCAGAGTTCACAGGGCAAAGTGCTAGAGAAGAGAGAGCTACAGAGAACGCTCCCAAGATCTGCAGAGGGTCTCTCTTGAGTCTTCACCAGAGTACTGATCAACACACGCAAGGAGGACCCAAGGCTGAGAAAAGAACCATCCAAAGCAATAGTCAGGACAATGGAAAACCTCGTGACTGCCTAGCATACTCAGAAGGTATTGTCTCAGTAATGGGGAAAAATTAGCCCCAGACTAAAGGCTGCTCTGGTCCATTCTAAGCAAGCCCTGAAAGGATCAAACTGTCCCCAAGGAATCTAACTATGTCACAGAACAAAGTTCAAAAATATTTATAGGAATACGAAAATATCCAGCATCCTTCAAGGTTAAATTCATAAAGTTTGGCATCTAATCAAGAATTGTCAAGCATGTAAAGTAGCAGGAAAACATGATCCATAATGAGAAAAATAATCAGTTTATCACTCAATCCATCAACTGACTCAGAACTTATACAGAGGTGAGAATTAGCCAACAAGGATATTAAAACAGTTATTATAACTATATCCCATAAGTTCCAGAAGGTAGAGGAACGACTATG